ACCTGATTTATAATAAACACTCATATGTATTTGATGAATTAATGAATGAACAAATGAATGAATGACACTTTAAGAAGAATAACACACTAACCCTGATGTTAAGTGTATTGTCGACAGGACAGAGTATTGTCCCGTTGGCTGAGAAGACTGCCACGACCACTCTAACTTCGAAAGTTTTAGCCTCATGCTGGGCCTGTTCTGCTCACAGTCATGGCAGTAAATTTGAGGAGTTGATTGATGGTCTTCCAGCCATGCTTGGTTGTCTGCTCGTCTAAAAGGAGCTAACAATCAGTGGTGGGCTTGTGTGTGGAGACCCATCACTCCACCAGTAGCACAAATGAGCCCCACTCAGCTCAAGCGAGAATGCAGGCCCGGCTCTTGGCACTGTTCCTGGAAACGCAGAACAGACTTCTTTATTCCAATCTCCAGGCTTCTGGCTAGCAAGGAACACTGCCCGGCTGTGAAGCGTTTTATAGGATTATAATGGGTAGTGCCGAAGGCAAGTTCTGAAAGGCACTTTGTGCTGTTGCTTTGAGTGAAACTGACTGTTAGGGCAGTGTTGTTCCTAAGCCCATAAACACACACACACAGGCAAGATGGGGAATGCTGGCCTCCTGGGGCTCACTCAGCTGGGCAGCACTGCAGTCCCTCACCTGTGACACCAGCCTCAGACGTGTGCTTGGGAACCCTCCTGTAGAGCAGCCTGCTTATGACAAAGTCTTTAGTCACAGACACTCCTGGTTGAAATTCTAGGCCGATTGCCCAAACCTAAAATCTGCTAATATGGTAGCAGTGCATCATACACTGGGAAGGTTCTAAAGTTGGGGCACAAGGTGGAAATTGCACGAGGACAAAAATATCCTTGAACATCCTTTAAGTGTCTCAAGAACCACATAAATGGTTTGTTTATACCCAAAATTGCCAGCTTCAGTTCACAGGCCTTATTGTATCAAAAATATATGAATATATGTTTTTATTCATGGTGAGGAGATGTTCATGCTATGAGAACCTTGTAAGCATCAGAACTCCCAAGGAAACTCCATATTCCCTTCTTTCCTTTCACACTCATTTTGGAGCTTATGCTTGTTTTGTTTTGTTTGTGGCACTATTTAAATTGTCTCTCGCCATTAGCTAGAACTAACACTCTCTCTCTCTCTCTCTCTCTCTCTCTCTCTCTCTCTCTCTCTCTCTCTCTCTCCCTAACATGCATAATGAAAAAGATATAAGTTTGCTGTACATATGTTGTGTGGCAATGTATATTGATTGATTTTTATGGTTCTTTTAAGGAGGAGCAAAAAATATTTTACAAGACTGTTTTAATAGTCAACCAATATGACTATTCTTTGCTCTGTGGTAGCTGAACTTAAACTTGAGGTTAAAGGCTCCTCCCTTCTCTAAGGTTTAATGCATAATGAAAAAGATATAAGTTTGCTGTACATATGTTGTGTGGCAATGTATATTGATTGATTTTTATGGTTCTTTTAAGGAGGAGCAAAAAATATTTTACAAGACTGTTTTAATAGTCAACCAATATGACTATTCTTTGCTCTGTGGTAGCTGAACTTAAACTTGAGGTTAAAGGCTCCTCCCTTCTCTAAGGTTTATCTATTACTGCACTGGACTTATGGTGTATCAGACTTCCTGCTTGGCCCTGAGTATCCTGCAGTGAGTAGTCCAGTCCTAGGGCTGTCATAGTCTGCTGGGGTCACTCTTCAACAAGTACTGGAAGTACACTTCCCAACTGAAAGACAAGGCCTGGTGAGTTCCACCAGGATCAAAACCCATCCCCAAAGGGGCTGTTGCTGGCCAGAGTCCTTTAGGTAGGATGGTGGGCCTGTGGGGACAACAAGAACCAAGAGAAGAAGGGCACGAGAAAGAGCTTGAGTTCATATCTTTGGCAGCCAGGGGAGCCCTAAGTGAGGCATGTCACTGCCTCCAGGTCCTGCTTTGGCTGCAGAATTAACCAGGGGCTTCTTTGGTTGCATGCTTTTGGAGTTGGGGTTCCCCTCATTTCCCACCAAGCTTGGCCAAACTTGGGGCGGGGCGGGAGGACCTGTGTAAACACCCCATCAGCACAGCTCAGGCTACAGGGACAAAGTTGTGTCCGGGAATACAGGTAGAGAAAGTCAGTGGTCCTGAGGCACTCTTTCTCACCCCAAACCTCTTTTTTGACTACTTTCCTTCTACTACTTTAGAGTATATAATTGAGAAGAAAAACGGGTGCTCTCTTCAATCTCACTTAGAACCCACTGATTCAGAAGCCTCCTTCACACTTGTGGCAAGATTCTCCCTGCTTCTAGGGCAGTTTGTCTATACTAGTTGGGCAGGGAAGTGGATGAATTTAGTGCAAGGGTGTGGGTTTGGTACCTGAGATAAAAGAGTTGTATATCATGAGGTATCCTGTCTGGAAAGTGGGAAGTGCTGGATTCTAGCCTCAACTGAAAGCAGAGAACACTAAAACAGGGACTAGATAGTTCTATTTCCATGACCTCCTGCACACTTAAGAAGTCAAAACAAAAGACATCATCTCTCCAGACCACCACCTGCTCTGGCCATGACTTTGATAAGGGGAGGTGGGGGGATTCAACAGTGCAGTCTACAAAATAGCTTTTGAGGTAATAATCATTTTAGTATCTTAAAATTTTATTTCTAATTTCCCAAGTAACACATGAATATATTTTTCTTGTAAAAAAAATTAAGAACACTTGCTATAAACAGAATTTGTCTGCTACTTTTAATCCTTTAATGCCAGGTACTCTCTAGCACTGATTGCCTCCCCTCAGCCCCAAGGGAACTCATAGAGTTTGCTGTGGATCCTTCTGGATGGTTTTCAATGGTATTTACCTACATGTCTCTATAGAAAATATATGGTATTCTTTTGTAGATTTTTTTTTTTAACACAAATGGTATTATACTGTGCTTATTCTGTAATTATTTTTCAACTGAACTTAATACATTGATGATCTTTCCATTCCAGACCCATAGACCTAACTTATTTTTGACTGCTGCTGAGTGGTGTTCCACAGTAAGGAGAGTTTAAGTATTCCTATTGATGGACTTGAGTTACCAGTCTTGTTTTTTACTGTCCAGACAGGGCTACAGAGAATGATTTTGTAATTGCCTATTGGGCATTTACAATATGTTTTCTCCAGTAAGGCGAGGTAGAGTCAGGTCATTGCTACACAGCTTTATCTTGACAGACCCTATCAGATTGCCTGGAGTGGCAGGCAACTTCTTCCCAGCCTCTTCATATTTAAAAACAGCTGCAGAGAAAGGCTCAAGGTGGTGGCAAAGTTTTGTGTCCCAGTCGTGGAGGTGGTTACAAGTGTTTACATTTGTCAACACTCAACTAACCATACACTTAAAATGGGCGCATTTTACACCATTCTATTCAAATGATGTTCTTTTAAAAAAAAAAAAAAAGTGTGAGGATGAGGGGAGACTGGCTGAGAATAAAGACAGAATACCGCCTCTCTTAAGGTGAGCTTTTAAAACGCTTGCTTTTCTCTCAGGCTGTTTCCCTCATCCGCGCTTTTGTCCAGGCCTCTGCTTCTTCCACCCAGGGAGTGCCGGGGAGTTCGAGTGCAGTTGACACTGGGCTGGGCGGCCGTGCAACCGCGTACTCCTCGCCAGGTGCCCCTTGGCCACCGGCCCGCGGGAGGGAGAGGTCCTGCAGCGAGATCGTCCCTCGTCCCTCGTCCCTCGCCCCTCGCCACACTACAGTCCTAAGGCGTTTTCGCCGCCGGCCCCTGGGCGCTCCGGGGACGCGTCGGGGCGGGGCCGAGAGGGAGCCCCGCCCCAGCTGGGGCGGACCCGCCCGCGGCTCCGCCCCCTTTCTGTGGGCGCACTGGAGTTGGGTTCCTCCAGGCTAGAAGCCGGCTGTCAGTCTCCGTGTCGCCGCCTCTGCCCGGCATCGTGGAGCTGGGGACCCCTTTCTCCTGGGAGTTCTGTGGTCGCATCGGGTCAGCGGTGACATCCCAAAGGGCAGGCCCGGCAGCCGCCATGGTGGCCAAGGATTACCCCTTCTACCTCACGGTCAAGAGGGCGAACTGCAGCCTGGAGGTACCCCCGGCCAGCAGTCCAGCCAAGGACGCCGAGGTAGGGACCTCCCCACCTGGACCTCTCTGGGTCGCCTATCTGTCTCCATTTCTTCCTCTCTCGGCTCCCTCCCTGTGTCACTGTCTCTGTGTTTCCATCTCTCACTTTATGTGTTCCTCTCTCTCCATCTCTCACACTATGTCTCCTTGTCTCCATCTCTCCCTGTCTCTTGCCTCCCTTCCCTACCCTCTCTGTGAATCAAGCATGAGTTGCTTTCTCTGTCTCTCTTCCTCTTAGCCAGAGAGCAGCAGCCTCTTTCCCCCTGCCGCCCCGCTCCCCCTCCCTGCTTCGCGCCCGGCACGGCTCTCAGACTGTCAGTCTTCTGTCTAGACCCGGCAGAGTGACTCTCCGACCATATCGGCTGGCCCAGTCATCGGGGAAGAGCTACCCTTTAAGCGCTGGTTTCCTCTTGCCTGGATTGGGGGAGTAGGGGATGGTTCTTAGGGACCCTTCAGAGATATCTCATCTGTCAGGCTTGGCCTTGCAGCTGTTTGGCAACAAAGACAGGACACCTCTGCTTCTCACCTGTGGCCAGTGGGGGTCATTCAGCTGGAGGTCTGGGGCTGATTGGTCACCTGAGTGCCTTCTACATGGATCTTGAATATGAATTAAACTCCTCAGGAATGATTGGAACATTAGGAACATTTCTTTTTCTGGGAACTTTTCTGTGCCATCAGGGTGATGTGAGGGAGTCCTCCTGGTTGTGTTTAGTCTGCCTTTTCTCTTGTGTATTATATCTGGCAAAGAGCTCACTGGCCTTAAAGATTGGGTTCAGCTGGAAGAGAAAGCATCCTCTCTTTCTTTGGGGGTTTTAAGGAATACGGTTGCTCTCACTGGACTGCAGTTTTGCTGTTGTCAAGCTATAGTGGAACCCACAGGACCCAGCTCATCATTACTGCTCATGTGTGTATCTGGGAGATCTTCACCTTCCCCTCTAGGAGAATGTGTAGGCCGGTATGCATCCAGCCTTGTTGCAGCATTCTTGGGGGTTCTGCCCACCTGGCACCCTTGGGTCTGCTCAGCTGTGTGCACTTGGCTCACTGAATTATGTATATTTGGGAGGACAGCATCAAAGATTCATTGCCTCTAACAAGAGCTGCTCCAAGCTGACAACATTCCAAACAGTCTCAAGTTGTAATCAGCTTTCTGTTAGCTGAGCGCAGACTAACTTCTCACCCCCACCCCACACTCCAGCTCATTTGTAAATCTTCACAAAGAGTTTTTGTTACCAGCATCTGTGGAAGGGTTATGGCCCTAGTGATATTTGGATTCCTATTTAAGTTTTGACAGAATAGCACCTGCATAGAATTCAAGTTGTTCAGGCTTAGAATGGATGTAATAATTTTTCAATGGGAACTTAATAATTTAGTGAATGTAAGAGCAGTGAAGCTAATACCTTTCAAACTCCTTTTGGAAGGAATCAAAATATAACCAAGTTTAATTAATAAATTGAATTGAGTCAAAGAATGTAAGACTAACTCTGGACTCTAGTCTCTTCTTCCTATCATTTAGCCCTATGTTTTTGAGTAGTTTAGCTAAAGGCTTAGGTAAGACATCTGCTTAGTCTTATTCTTAGAATATAAAGATATCTGTATATCACAACTGTGATGAAAGAAATGTATCATAAAATGTCGAATATTAATTTTCTTGGTGGTAGCTGGATCTGGATTACATAAATGTGACTTTTTTTTTTTTTTTTTAAATGCAGATGTCCTGGTGTAGGAGTAAAGATGAGGGAGGTACAATTTCAGAAATAGTTGGTAAATATTTTTCAGGTGTCACCATTGAGGATTTTCAAAAAGTGTTTAAGTCAAGTACAAGTATCTTTTATGCTCTATACACCTTGAGGCAGAGGTGTCCCCAGTACATTTCCTAGCTTCATTGATCTGGCATATCACTTCCTCATAATGGCGATAGGCAAAGTTGAAAAAAGAAACCTAAGTGCGCTTGGGGGCTGGTTTTCTGGTTTCATTTTCAATGCAAAAGACAGCTAACCTTGTAGGCCTCACTTCTCCATAAGCAGTTAACTAAAATATATTTTATACCAGCAAGTGTCATCAGTATTTGTGTTTAAAAACAGCATACACTAGTTGGCCTTTTGAAAGACATGATTATATGCTTGTTTATAAACTAGTTATTGACTGTTAGTGCCTATGAAAATAATTTTTGAAGATTGATCATTTTCTTTGCAGAAGGAATATAGTCATAATAAAAAGAACTGGCCTATCCAAAGTCCTTTTTGACCTTCATAGGCAATTACAGCAGAGCACCTGTGCCCTTCAGACATATAATGGCTGTTCCTTCAGCATTTGCTATAAGGACAGTGGGCATAGCGCTGCATGGGCAAGTGCCTTCTAGTGTTTGTTTTTGTCATTGCAGGCGGAGTGCTAGGGAAGGCCACTTAGGGAAAGGCTCGAGGTTTAAGTGCTTAGTAATTTTTTTTATTTCAATGATAGTTTCCAGTGAAAGAAAAGATATTTTAAATTTTATTTTCTTTAAAATATCTATTTCAAACATTAAAAATATTCTATATAGATTAATATTAATATAATGCTGCTTCTTAATCTAATATGCCTTATGACATGAGTGTATGAACTGAGTTGCAAATATTTAATTTTAATACCCATAACCAACTAGATCCTTCCAGCTCTAATCATTGACCGTGAAATCTAAGGAGCTTAGTCCATCTCAGTCCATGTGAGTATTGTTAAGCTTATTTCTTCTGATCACTGATACAGCTTTTCCCAATTGATCTCTGTATTGTATTTATTGAGTGCTTACTTCCCATGCCAGGAGGGACTGGTTCTTCTAGGCATGTTAGGTGCTCTGAACACCTGATCGAGTCACTAAAAAGAAAGCTGTTAGCACTCACAAATTACACTAACTATAAGTTAAAAGTCACTACTTACCCATGGTGAGGTTTGATCTTAAAGAAGGCTTAGATGAGTGGAGATGTTGGCTAAGGACGCTGGAGCCTGGTGAGAGGGTCTTAAGAGTTTGGGGTCCATTTCATTTTTAATGAAAATACAAAGATGCTTCTGTTATATTCTTTCTGAAACTATATCTGACAATCAGATGAACAGCTTACTTTTGATTTTAAGATTCACTCTCTCAGATGTTGGGTAGGATTAAGCCAGATTTAATTAATCATATTTGTAGCCATTGCCTTTGTCTTTTAAAAGTATATGTTCTGATTTTAGCTCAGCCAGTAGCCTTATGTGGCCCTTGGAATGACATGTACATAGCTATGATGGAGCTGTAGTCCTTCTCTAGGTACTACATCTAGTGTCTCACTTGAGATCCCAACCATGATATAAGGTTAACATAAAGCACAAATTATTCTCCTCACTTTATGAATAAAGACACTGAGGAGAGGTGACTTGCAGAAAACCACAGAGAAAATCAGCAGCTGAACCAAGATCCAATGACAGGTTTCCTGATGGATTTAATCCAGTGTTTAATACCAGTGTACCTTGTGGCATTTCCGGATGTTTATCTCTGAGAAGGGGGGGATGCAAAACTTAACAGACATGTAAAATGCTTTCAAATGTTTTATTTTAAATATATAATCTAGAGTACTTTATGTAACTAAGAAGGTACCTTTAAGTTTTAGCTCTAAAGAGCAAGGTGAACCCTATGCCTCTGCCATAATTTATGCCGCAGTCCACACATGTATTTGAAAATTGTATGCACCTGGGGCTGTATTCCTTGCATGCCAGCTAGAGCACTAAAAGGGTCACCTGGTTTTCAGTAATTTATACATTTCACGGAATCTGTATCATATAGTATCCAACTGACAGTATATATTACCAACTGTATGGAAATGGTTCTGAGGAGTTATTGCAGTTAGAATCCTGGGTTTCTTTTTCAAATGACTAAATAGACTCCATGAATCATGTGACCTCAGATCTTGCTGGGTCAGAAGCCACACTGAGTTACCCAGGTAAAAGCCATCCCTTACTGATAGGATCTGGTTATGGTCATTCAGTCATGATTCCTAGGCTTGTTCAGATGGGCCTCCAGGATGCAAATGAACTAGGAATAGGTTTATTAGAGGAGAATATATTGACTTTACATGTATACATTTGAGGCTGTTCAGGGCATTGACTCTGGAATAAGACTGCTTGGGTCCCAATGCCATCTCTGCCACCTGCTCGTGGTGTGGCCATTGGACAAGCTGTTGTACTTCTCTAAGCCCCTATTTCCTCAGTGGTAAAATGGGAATGAAATAGTTCTACCTCCTGAGACCATAGTGGGGGTCGATGAGATGATTCATGAAAGTGCTTAGTATACTGCTTAACACACAGTAAGTGCTCAATAGGTATCATCATTCAAGACCATGTATCTCAGAGAGATCCGTAAAACAATTTTAAGAAACATGACCACCACCCTAATTTTCTGATGGTGTTTTATGCACAGCAGTGCATCAGGGGCCTTACTGTAAGTCTTTTAATCATCCTCACAATTCTGTGAGGTTGGTAAAATTGCCCCATTTTGTAGAAGAAACTGAGGCTCAGAGCTGGATAATTGGCCTTTCCAGGATGGAGGAGCCAATACTCACACTCTAGTCTGACCCCGAAGTCTTTACTTTCCCAACCACATCACATTGCCTCTAAATGACTAAACACTGGTCTCCTTACCACATAACACACAAAGGATGAACCCTCCTACCAGAGCAAATTGCCTCATGGTCAAAGGCTCATTTTTTCCTGAGTGTCTGAATGGAAGACCTCACCATTAATCAATGCTTCTGGCAGCCCACTTCATAGAATGGCCACAACCTGACCCACAGGAGTGGGGTTTGCAAACCTCAGTTTGGAAGGCTTTCAGTAACTTCCATTTTGTATTTCTCAAGAGCAAGGAGCTGGTCTTTGGCAGAATTCCGCATGCTCAGCTCTGTGGAGGTGACATAATTAGTTTTGCAATTAGTCATTTTGCTAATCTACATTAACCACTAGCCTTCCAAGTAAACCAATAACTGGAAGGCCCTGACTGCCATC